GTATGTATTATCAAACGACTTGGAGTTGTTTATAATTGCACAATTCAAAACATGTGCGTGTGTGTGCGTTCGTATGTTATATTTATATTTTATGTGATGTGGGTTTCTTTTTTATTAAATATATTTTTGTGTGTACCCATTTAGTTTATAATTCCTATTATCACATGTTACATATAGATGCCTCTCCTCACGATGTGTGTTATAATATTATATGCATTTTTGAGTTTTTGTTATTGCATGCGTATTGCATGAGTATTCTATGATAAACATGGTCAAAGATATTTGAACATATTGCCGAGGGAAAGAAATTATTATTTAAAATTAATTTAGGCAAATATATATAAGTTAATTTTAAAGAAATTGTGTTTTCCTTTATTAAGTATAAAATTCGGACTGAACAATAGTTTCTTAAATTTACCTTAAACTAGCTGTGGGTCAAAGGCAGCGGCGTCGGAATTATTGGCGGCAGAGTTGAGTGAATATTCAATAGTCAGCGGAACTTGCAGTTTGTGTGTTATTGATGTTGATCAATTCTGAGAGCTGAAGAAGCTGTTTGTTTATACTTAATGGTCAGAAAAAATATCGATCTATTCCGTGAATTGGAGCGGATGTTTATTTTAACAAATTTCGTTTAATTGTTGAACTTTAATTGTTGCAATGAATATTGCTATGTCAAGATAAATTTTTTTGTGTTAACTTATATAAATGCATGTTCAACAAGTAAGGAAGGGCTAAGTTCGGATGTAACTGAACATTTTATACTCTCGCAAGTCAAATAGTATACTCGTTTGAGATTTCTTTGTGGATTGACTGATATTTTCGGTAGAAGATCAACTATAGGCACTGGGGTCCACATATTTAGTACTTAGGGACTTGAACAGTTTTGGTTCGATTTAGACAATTTTTGGTCACAAGGTGGCAAACTTTAAACGTATTATTCACGCAAAGTTTTATCCCGATATAATTATTGTTGCTTGATATGCATAGTGGAAAGTGAAAAAATCAGATGAAATTGAAAATGGTGTTATATGGGAAATAGGCGTGGTTGTGCTCCGATTTCGCCCATTTTTGCACTATGAGATGGAAATATGAAAAGAACGTTATGTACCGAATTTTATTTAAATCGGTTAAGCAGATCCCAAGATATGGGTTTTCACCTAAAAGTGGGCGGCGCCACGCCTATATATACGGTTCCTATAAAGTCATCTCATGCCATCCCAGAAAGAGAAGAAAATTTAATGTCTCTGGCGTGTTTAGTGCTTGGTTTATGGGGCTTTTAGTAGTTTTTAACAGTACCGTTATATGGGGAGGGGGCGGAGGTGCTACCCGATTTCAACTATTTTCACATCGTGGGTAGAGGTTCTAAAAACATTTGCTTCCAGTGAATTTTGTTATTATAGCGTTGGCGGTTTAGGAGATATGCACATTAAACCTATTAGGGGCGAGACCACGCCCACTTAAAAAAATTTTTTTTACTGCAGATGCCCCTCCCTAATGTGATCCTGTGTACCAAATAACAGTCTTGTATATTATTGCGGAGCTTAGTTATAACAATTTATTTGTTTTTGATAAATGGCGTTTTGTGGGCGTGGCAGTGGTCCGATTACGCCCATCTGCAATACCAACCATCTCACGGTACCAAGAAACATTGAACATTTGAACCTGAAAAGAGGTTGGATGGTGCAGCGGTAGATGCTTTGCAGTGCGTCATTTCCATTTCAGTCGGATTTTTTTGGCGGCATCCCTGATAGATGGACCATTATGAGGTTGGTAAACATGTTTGCCGAACCTGCTAGTAACGCAAGAGTTTCGACTCGCAACTTATCGGCGCAACTTGGAGTTAGCAGACGGTCATTACAACGGATAATTCATGATGAGTTAAACCTGTTTCCGTACAAAGTTCAAATAAAAAGCCGATTAAATCTTCAAGATTTGCCTATTCGCCTGGAATTTTGCCAAAAAATTATTGAAACCCGAAGAAGACAAGAACTTGATACATAGCCAGACCAGTTATTGCGGAGGTTTAAAGAAAATTTGGCAAAAAATGAATGTCAAAAAACTCCACTTTTCGCTAGCCCTCAAGGTTACCTGACCTGACTGCACATAACTTTTTTTATGTGTTATATCAAGCAAGAGATGTAAAAATCAAAACGCAGAAATTTGACTGAGTAGAAAATCTCTTTAACCTGTTTTCTAATGATGAAAATTATTGTTTGTTTGTAATTCATAGCACGTTTTCGAAGTTTTATATTTTCTGCCTTTCCTTAGCGGTGCTGTTTTAAATAAGTTTAGTTCGCAGTGAATTTCAGAGCTGAAAGTAAGCATTCGTTATTTATATTTCATGCAAATCGGGATTTTCTATTGGAATGCTTAATAAAAAAAGTAATAAAATTGGCAAACATTTGAAGATTTCTAAAGAACAAGCGTTCTCTTTACGATATACAGTATGTTTTCGTTTACTTAATGATTGGTCATTATAAGCTAAAATAAGAAGGTATTTCAGCAATGCTGTTGTTAGATTTTGCTTGATATTGCGTCCATACTTTAGAAAGCATAAATGATGATTTATCGTGTAAAGACGACAAGTTACAATTTATCATTTTTCTTTTATAATTCTCATTCTCTTCTTTATGTTAATATTAAATATGAAAACATTGCTCAAGATCTTATAAATATGCGCTTTATATGACATATACCTATTCTTTCACCTTTATAACTGGAGCCCTTCTGTCAAAAGGGTGCTGGGCTGAAATTTAACTTAACATAAGCTTGAAGCCATAAGGGATAATTTTTCTTCTTAACAATTGCATTTATATTTATGGTATATTTTATTTATGTTGCATGTATGTTTGTATATATAAAATTTCAGTGCATCACGCTAATGTTTTTAAAAATTGTATAGCTTTCGAATCAAAATATGACAACAACGAAATGCTGAGACACACAAACCAGTGTTATTTACATCCTTCCTTTACCGATTCGTCAACTTAAAACATAATCAACCAACGCACAGCAAAGTCCACCATTAACACCGCAATAACCACATTCGTTGAATATTCTCTATTATTTCATCCGGAAGAAGATTGCAGGTGAACAATTGTATGTCAAATGTTGGGTTGCTAGCCAAAAGTCAGTAAGATGTTAAATTTTAGAATCTGAAAGAAGACATGAGGTATGTATTTACTATTGAGAATTGGTATGCGTGTGTTTGTGTGTCTTCTTATGAGTTTTATTAAAATCTGAATCCTATATCCTACTTTAATAACCGACACCATATTTTTATCAACAAGTAATTAAAATTTATTACTAACATTACATTACATTTATGGTACATTATGGTTAATGGTTTTGTTCTTACATAAACGAATATTTGAAAACCAAATGTTCTTTTATGGTTGTTATACAAGTATTTGCCTGTGGGTTCTGTACATGCAAAGGTAGTGCGGATATTACCTATTAAAGTTTTTTATGTTGAAAAAATACGTAGCCTGTTCTTACCATACTGTATTTTAAATTGCCACTTTCCTCCTATTTTAACTATTCGTACAAAGTCATCGCCATTTAATTCTTTGCAATTACGTGAAGTCAGGCGGAATTTGCATGCATTCGACCACATAATCGGGAATTACCTACCACAGAAATGCTATCCATGCAGGAAATTCAACAACATCAAAAGAAACAATGCACAAGCTATGTTCCTTATGATAGGAGATATCCGAATGTCTGTAATTTTTGCCGTGCAAGTGAAACCTTACAAAATTCATCGCACAAAGTTATCCAATTTTATTACGTATGTATATGCACGTTGCTTTTCTGTCATGATTTTTTATTCTTTCGCAACATGTTGCTAGCGAATATTACAGCTTTGTTCACATAAAGGTTGTTTGTAGCACCTAAAACCAATTGAGATATACTAGTATATATATATTTATATCAGGAGGATCAGGATGACGAGACGAATAGAATTCCGAGTGACTGTCTGTCCGTCCGTACGTCCGCGCAAGCAGTAACTTGAGTAAAAATTGAGATGTCGTAATGAAATTCGGTACACGGGTCCCTTGCAAAATAAAGAGGACGAGTTCGTAATCGGAAAACATATAAAGTGTCATAACTAAGCACTAAATTAATATACAACACTGAAATTTGATACCGGGGATCGCACCAGCAAGGGGCACCTGTGGGCTAAAAGTTAAAAATCAAATGGGCTGGAACTCGCCCTCTAAAAAGTTTAATGTACATGTCTCCTAAACCACGTTGAATACAATAACCACACCATATAAAGGTTCTGTTATAGCAGTATTGTAACTCTTAGGATAACAATGTAAAATATAATGTAGGATAACTGAAAACTTAGTTGTACTAATATAAATGAACTTAATATTAACCTGTGAAAGCATGAGTTAAATAAATTTTAAGATATGTTTAATGTGGATATCGGATTCATAAGTTATTTTCATTTAAATGAGGATTCACTTCGTATTTTTTTTTACTAAATGAGATGAAGGAGCGTTACCACAAACTCTCCATTTACTAGCTGCCGCTAGTTATCAATAAGGCATTTAAAATGATTTTAACTTTGTGCTGAAGCGACCTACAAACCCTGCTTTTAATTATTATGACCACCATATTTGTTAACAGTCATTTTGCGACTTTGATGTTAGAAGCTGTTTCTTACTAATTTTTATTAATAATTTTCCTAACTATTATATATGTATGTATTCATCATTGTATAACTACAAATGCTTGTTAACAGTTGACATTTTTTGATACTAGTCAACCCCACTGGCACAGAGTTGAAAGCCGCAATACCAAAAAAAGTTGAAGTTTGACAACATTTCAACTGAAATCTTGTTGAAAACCATAATACCGAATTTTAAAACTTCAACCAAAAAAATTGTAATAGGGGTGTGGGATGTTCACAATATTGTTCGATTTATTTACTTTCCATAAAATGATATATATATAATGATAAAACGTACTCGTCGTCCCCATTTTGTATTTTACTCTTTTGGCTGAGTTGTTTGATTCGACGGATTTTGGCTATCCTCAGCAACGAACGCTGATTTTAACCGGTCGATGGAGATGTTCACGTCCTTTCCCCTGATTTTGACTTTGAAAAACTTGTCGCTGCGTTCGACTACTAAAAATGGTCCCTCGTACGGTGGCTGAAGCGGCTGGCGAATTGCGTCATTGCGCACGAAAACTGATGGTGCTGTGTGCAGATTCTTTTCCATGAATGGTGCATGAGCTGAGTTATTTGTTGTTGGTGACGGTCTCAGTGCCTGCATGCGTATGCGTAAATTTCCGACAAATTCACCTTCGGTGACGTTGTGCGTGTGATCTTCGAAAAATTGCTGACCAGGTAGTCGAAGAGTGTTGCCGTAAATAATATCTGCGGGTGTCGCTTTAAGTAATTTCTTCATGCGGAACGAAAGCCTAAGAGAATTAGTGGGAGAACTTTAACCCACTTGTCCGTCATGTGGCATTTTATCGCTGCTTTCAAGAATCTATGCCGATGTCGATGAGCCCATTTGACGCTGGGTGGTACGCAGTGGTACGTAAGTGTTTTATGCCTAAAATTCTGGCAAGGTCGCGGAAGAGTGCATATTCAAATTGTCTTCCCTGGTCCGTTGTTACTACTGTCGGTACTCCAAATCTCGCGATCCAATGTGTGTAGAAATAAAAGCAATTGTTTCTGTCGTTATATCTTCGAGCGGGTATTCCTCCAACCATCGGGAATAACGATCGACTATTGTCAAGCAGTATAATAATTAATTTGTAAGCTGGAATTCGAATTTAGTAATTTTTAAACTCTGAGTCAGATTTTTGTGTCTTTGAAGGTTCGGCGAAGTCGATGATGTTTGGAGTAAGTATGGCGTCAATGCGTGACATTGTATCTGCTATTATTTTGTCTTTCCCGGGGTGTGATATATTCAGAATGGCGCATTTGACGCGGTGATGCTTTAGCTAGCTTTTGCTGGAACACGTATTGCAATGGCTTGTGGTCAGTGAGGATGATAAATTCTCTGCCTTCCCGCATATGTTTAAAATATTCGACTGCTTTGTACGTCGCTAACAGTTCACAATCGTAAGTGCTGTATTTCGTTTGTGTTTCGGTAAGGCGTTCGGAGTAAAAACCTAGTGGTTGCCACTGGATAGTTGTCTTGTTGTTGTAATACCGTACCTACAGCAGTTCCGGAAGCATCCACTGTCAAACTGAGTTGAGCTTCGGGTTTAGGATAGGCAAGTAAAGTTGCTTTACATAAATCGTTTTTACACTGCTCCAATGCCTCTTTTGATTCGTCCGTCCATTCACTGTTGATGTGTCGTTTTTATTGTTACCTTTCACTAGTTTGAATAACGTAATTTTACTTTCGGCGGCGCCAAGCAAAAATCTGCTGAAAAAGTTTACCATGCCGAGAAAACGTCGCAAGTCACATGCTCTAGTAGGTAGTTTAAAATTTTTAATGGCATGCACTCGTTCTTCTGGTGGTGAGATTCAGCTGCTGTTTATCTTAAAACCTAAGAAATTCACTCGCGGCTGGCCTAGTATACACTTCGCATGGTTGATTACCAAACCGTACTTGCGCAGTTTTTCGAACACTAATTGCAGATTTTGACGATGTTGGTTCATATCCTTCGGCGATATCAAAATGTCATCGAGATATGGCCAGGCAGAAATCGTATTTGCTAAAGACGTGATCCATGAATCTTTGGAACGTTTGACTGGCATTTCTTAAACCAAAGCACATGAAGGGAATTCAAACATGCTAAATGGTGTGGTGATTGCTGTTTTTTGTATATCGGTGGGTAATGGGTAATGGGCTGGCCCATGGGCTGCGAGATGGACGACAAATGCCTGCATCTAGCATGAATTGTCTCTCGGCTTTATCTGCTTTTAGTTTCTCAGGTGATAAGCGTCTCGGTTTGAGAAAACTGGTGGCCCTTTGGTGACGATGTGATGTGTGGCCAAATGTTGTAGTTTATTGGTCGTGAAATTTTCTACCGTGATGTTTTTGAACTCTCTCAGCAAATCCTGGAACTGTTGATTTTTGTTAATGCATGATAAATTCAATACTACTTCATTATTAGTTGGCACTGAACAATATTTGCTAACGCTTGTGATGTCGTCGATGAGTTTTCGTTGTCGTGGTTAACCGATAAGTTAAAATGCGATAAAAAATCCGCTCCGATGATGGCTTGTGATACGTCGGCAACTATGAAATTCCAGGAAAATTGGCGGCGTAGACCCAAATTAACATGCATGACTTTTTCACCATAAGTTTTTACGCTGACTTCGGCTCCCGTGTCGATGAGAAATTTCATTGCAGATACCTTACCTCGAACTATTAAGCGGCGGTTTGTGTTGCTGAGCCTGTCGTCGACCGCCATTGACGTCAGGCTGCGACATTTTTTAGCAAATTTTAGGTGGTACCAGCCCAAATCGATCAATCTGTTGTTTTGCTCACCGTTCCTGCTTTGACTTCTAGATCGACAATTTATGTTTGCTTTTATCGAGGCGATTTCTTTTCTGATCTCAGCCAGTTGTTGCTCGATGCTGAATTTCGCGTGTGTAGCTGTGTGTTGGGCTTCAACCGAGTGTACATGTGGTGTGTCGCTAATCTCTCTTATTTTATCTGCGAGCAGTGCTACTTTGTCAAGGGGATCGTTGCTGATCGAAATAATTAGTCGCATGTTGGAAGGTAAACGACTCATCCAAATAGACTTGAGTATGTTGTCGTTTATTTCGCTGCCTGCTAAACTACGCATCTCGCGCTAGAGTTGTGATGGGCGCATGTAAAAGCTCTTGTTCTTGTAGTAGCTTCTTTACACGTTATTGCTCGGAGTCTGCGAATTGCGTCATTGTGCGATTTCTTAGTGTTGGGTACATGTCGCTGTTCGGTGGATTGAGAATAATGTCACTTATTTGTGCCAGCACGTTGCTTTCTATTGCGGCCACGACAGTGCGATACTTGGTCTTGTCGCTCGTTATACCTGCGGCAATAAATTGTGACTCCACTTGTGCGATCCAAAGTTCTGGCTTTGCGTGCCAGAAAGGTGGAATTTTGATGGACACTTTAGCAACTTCCAGGCTGCGAGGCTGCAAATTTTCTGCCAACTGATTTAGCGCGTCCTCTTCGGCCATTTTAGCTTGCGTCAGGGTCACCAATATGTGGGATGTCCACAATAATGTTCGATTTATTTTCTTTCCATAAAATGATATAAAGTGATTACATACAAAAAAAGTGATGACGTGCTTACAGCTGGACGATGCATGATGTAAAATTAAGATGGAGGTATGTCAGCATGACAGATAGTGTAGGTTGAACGTTGCCATATCTGCTTTATAAATAACTCTTGCAGAGCTGCAAAACTCCTAAATTTTTTTAATGCATTACAACCCTAGTATTCTCTTGTCACTCTATGAAAATATAATGTACATATAAATTTAGGACCAATAAGGATATTAAAATAAAACATTGCACAAATAGTGTGAAAAAAACATGCCATCTCAGGTTTAAGTAGTCGCAATCGGATCACTCATTTTCCGTTCTGTAGCTTATTTTTTACCCGAAAAAATCTGCAAAACTCGGAAATACAGTGTATTATTAAAATTCAGAGATATTCTTTTCTCGATCATTGTATGCATTTGTGTCAAAAATCGGTAAAACTCATTTCCCCAAATAACTAATTTAAAAATTTTAAAACCTGCGGTTGACGTTATGCCATATCTTATGGAAATACGAAATGACATATCTTATGGAATATGAAACATAGTTATTTACGTCTGATTTTAAACCGCTTCAATATGTGTGATATTTCAATGAAGTTAAATGGGCAAGTTTTCCAAAAAATTATAAGGTTTATCCCTGAGTATAAATGAAATTGATCCTACACCATGTATAGGCCTTCATGTCTCTAATATATTGATTTCCAATTATCTGGTTAATTTTTTCTCATGTACCCAATATTAAATTAAGACCTTTGGATGAGTTTATATAACATACGTACATCTAATTTCAGTCAATAAGTTTGGTTTGAATATAATTATTGCGGATACGAAGCAGAATGTTGTAATGAACTTTTTTTTTAGGTATTGCCACCTTCCTTATATGTTTTTATTTGAGGTATGTCAGATGGTGGAAATTAAAGTTATTTTCCACTTTACTCTGCTGACTAAGTTTAAGCTATGGTTTCAGTATCTGCTGGCATCCACTATGTGTCATTGGAAAACATTTGTCAGCTCATTAGTCATAGGCAATTGCGACTGCATTGTTTACGGAATTTACTTTGTTTTAATACAAATGTTTACTCTTACACATTCAAGTGCATTAATACTTGTAGTCAATGTATTATCTTGCAATAGTATATTGCTTATGAACATATAAGTATATATGCTATGACTCATCAAATCGATGTTTTGAAGGCTCAAAAATGCAATTGTTTCAGTCAATATGTGAGAGCTCGCATTGCGTGGAGAACAGTGATCCGTTCTCTGTGGTAGTTTTCCTGATTTCTTGATTGTGAACTGACAAACAAATCATTGTTTACCACTCAGAATTTACTGTTCGGCGTTGTTCTAGTGCGCAAACAATTTTTGTTGAATTCGGTTCATCTTAAAACACCCATACAATTGACTGCTATCTACTTTTGGTTTCATACGTTACGGGTAAATCCACGATTTATCATATGTCACGATGTCATAGACGTCTTTCGAAGCACCGCTATCGTTATTTTTTACATTTCTCTTACATATCTACATATCCATCGTGATACGGTCACACTATTGTCTATAGTTGTCCTAGTCTCAAGATATATCACATGACGCATCATTCAATATCAGTTTGTGCGCTTAGTATTTTTATATATAATCCGATTTTTCCAGTTTCAGCTGAATTGAACTATATATTGAAGATTATTGAGTTAAAAGATGTATATTTTAAAATCCATGCCCACTTGGAGTCCACTTAGTCCTGAATTATATTTTTATTAGCCTTTAAAAGAACTAATTTCTGAAGTGAAGTTGTTATGACGCATACTTACTTGCACTTCTCTATTTACACAAATTTACGGATGTGTTAAAGCTTAAAGCATATAAAAGGAAAAAAACACTTACAAACTTTTTTCTACTGTGTGGTTTCTACTAATTTTCTACTAAGTGCCTGTGACACACCTAGATTTTGTGTTGAAAAAAAGAAGAGCCACCTTTATAGACATTTGGTGTCCGCCCAAATCCAACTGTACTCGCTTATAGGCATAACAATGCTGTTTCACAAAATCATCATTACTATCAAAGTTACTTCTTCCTTTCCTGATGTACGCAGTTCTTAAAGTGCTAAATATCGAAGGAAGTGAGTGGACAGCGCGCCGTTCCTTCAACAAACTTGGCCTAAAGCATCTAAAAAGAAAAAAATATGTTGCAAAAACATGTTCGGCTGCGATGCGATTTTGTTGCAACACGTCAGTATTGGACTGAAGAATGTTGGGATTTGGAGGGTTAAAATAAAATTTTTAATTATAAAAATATTCATTTTATTTTTAATTTTAAAGTTGGTATGGTCTGATAAGACGAAAATAAATAGTTATTAGTCTGATGGGCATTCCTGGTACTATACACGAGACCCAAACACGATTAAACCAGACTATGTTTCCAAACTGTATAGCATGGTGGCGGGTCAATCATGGTTTGGGGGGTATCACCAAAATGGTGTAGGTCCTCTGGTACGCATTGATGGAATCTTGCGTACGGAGCAATATCTGACTATTTTACAACAGAATTGGTCGACAGTCATCGAAATTTGGGTTTTGCTGCTGAAAAGTTATCTTTCATCAGAACATTAACCGAAACACACGGCTCGCCTTGTACAATATAAGATAAAGCGTAAAAATTTTTCGACCATTACATGGCCCCCATTCACCGGATATCCAATCGAAAATTTGTGGATTCATGTCAAGGTGCAGCTAGCTAGGATACTTCGCTCCTCCTAAAAGGGGTAAAAGAGTTGTGGGAGCGGATTCAAGAAGTTTGGATGCCACGATTTTGTATCGAAATATACAAAAATTATGCCCAACCGATTGAACGCTTTAAAAAAAACTAAGAATTTTTGGACGAAGTATTAGTTTTATGCTTTTTTATAGTATTGTACTATCTTTTAATATCAAGTGCAAAACTGTAACATTGAAATTTTTCTTTCGTTATTGCTTTTAAACGAAATGAATTGTTATTAAATTGCCATGTTAAGTTACTTAATAAGGCTAAGGCTACATTTATTTGAAATTATGAATGAAAACATTAAAATTGTTGTTTATTTTGGTTTTTGGCGTCATTTTAGAATGTATCACTGTGGATGTTACGTATACGCAGTGACATGCATTGTTGCACATAAAGTAGGAACCTTCGCAACGGGAACAACACATTTAAGTCAGTCCATTTCAAATATATGATATCCAGCGTTTTATAATTTTAATAATTCTTTTCAGTTTGTGGAAGCATATCGTAGTTTATATCCTGGTTATAATGTGTTGGTTACACATTGGTTAATATATGCAATATTTTAATGAGATTATATAAAATACACTAAAAGATATGTCATGATATATATATACGCATAGCTGTAAAGGTAAGTATGCGTAAGGGTTTTAAAATTAGTTCATATATAGCTAAAAATCCATATCTTAATCTGTTACTAGACTTCTGGTTTCGGCAATTTTTTTAAAGAAATTTATTCCCGGAAATGTTTTAATCTTTATGGAAATATTTATATTTAACAAATAAATATACAAAACTGATTTTACAAATTATTAATTTTTAGCGAGTTATTTGCAATGTCCCAAACTACTTTAAAAAGTCCTCCACTTTTGCAGTGATTGCGGCATTCACCTTGGTTGAAAACATGAAAACAAACAAGTACTGAAGGTCTAAGTTAGTGTGTAACCGAACATTTTATACTCTTGCAACTTGTACAGATCAAATCATTGGGAATTCAGGCTATGAATAGTTTACAATCAAATCTGTATCTTATTAAATTACCATATATTATTGGTCATAGATTAAATTTGTTTTATTGCTATATTTTACTTCCCGTCAGCGATAGTTGTATTAAAATCATTTTTCAATAATATATTTCTAACATAAACTCAACCGAAAGGCTAAATTTTACATATAGTAAGATGATGTGCAAATCATTAACCAGAGGATCGTTAGTATTTTAAATCTTACCGTTGAACCTCATTGCGGTGAGAATTTATTTCGTTCTGATTTTATTAATTATCATTTATAAGTAACTAAATGTATGTATGTGTAAATATTTTAGAAATGGGTTATTTTAATATTACAACTCTATGTATGTGCGTGTGGGTCTACCACTATATAGATGTGACACACATATCACATATACTCGTTTTCAGAGT